AGAAAATCACATTGTAGGATTTTTAATGAATTTATTTGCAAATTATGGTGGAAAATAAGTATTTGGTCAATAACAAAAGTTTCTCAATACTTTGTTATATACCCTTTGTTGGCAATGACACAGGTCAAACGTTTTCTGTAAGTCTTCACAAGGTTTTCACACACTGTTGCTGGTATTTTTGCTGGTATCTCCTCTAGAGCAGTGATGTTTTGGGGCTGTCGCTGGGCAACACAGACTTTCAACTCCCTCCAAAGATTTTCTATGGGGTTGAGATCTGGAGACTGGCTAGGCCACTCCAGGACCTTGAAATGCTTCTTACGAAGCCACTCCTTCGTTGCCCGGGCGGTGTGTTTGGGATCATTGTCATGCTGAAAGACCCAGCCACGTTTCATCTTCAATGCCCTTTCTGATGGAAGGAGGTTTTCACTCAAAATCTCACGATACATGGCCCCATTCATTCTTTCCTTTACACGGATCAGTCGTCCTGGTCCCTTTGCAGAAAAACAGCCCCAAAGCATGATGTTTCCACCCCCATGCTTCACAGTAGGTATGGTGTTCTTTGGATGCAACTCAGCATTCTTTGTCCTCCAAACACGACGAGTTGAGTTTTTACCAAAAAGTTCTATTTTGGTTTCATCTGACCATATGACATTCTCCCAATCCTCTTCTGGATCATCCAAATGCACTCTAGCAAACTTCAGACGGGCCTGGACATGTACTGACTTAAGCAGGGGGACACGTCTGGCACTGCAGGATTTGAGTCCCTGGCGGCGTAGTGTGTTACTGATGGTAGGCTTTGTTATTTTGGTCCCAGCTCTCTGCAGGTCATTCACTAGGTCCCCCCGTGTGGTTCTGGGATTTTTGCTCACCGTTCTTGTGATCATTTTGACCCCACGGGGTGAGATCTTGTGTGGAGCCCCAGATCGAGGGAGATTATCAGTGGTCTTGTATGTCTTCCATTTCCTAATAATTGCTCCCACAGTTGATTTCTTCAAACCAAGCTGCTTACCTATTGCAGATTCAGTCTTCCCAGCCTGGTGCAGGTCTACAATTTTGTTTCTGGTGTCCTTTGACAGCTCTTTGGTCTTGGCCATAGTGGAGTTTGGAGTGTGACTGTTTGAGGTTGTGGACAGGTGTCTTTTATACTGATAACAAGTTCAAACAGGTGCCATTAATACAGGTAACGAGTGGAGGACAGAGGAGCCTCTTAAAGAAGAAGTTACAGGTCTGTGAGAGCCAGAAATCTTGCTTGTTTGTAGGTGACCAAATACTTATTTTCCACCATAATTTGCAAATAAATTCATTAAAAATCCTACAATGTGATTTTCTTGATTTTTTTTCCTCAATTTTTCTGTCATAGTTGACGTGTACCTATGATGAGAATTACAGGCCTCTCTCATCTTTTTAAGTGGGAGAACTTGCACAATTGGTGGCTGACTAAATACTTTTTTTCCCCACTGTACATGCCCGTCTGAAGTTTGCCAATGAACATCTGAATGATTCAGAGGAGAATTGGGTGAAAGTGTTGTGGTCAGATGAGACCAAAATTGAGCTCTTTTGCATCAACTCAACTCGCCGTGTTTGGAGGAGGAGGAATGCTGCCTATGACCCCAAGAACACCATCCCCACCGTCAAACATGGAGGTGGAAACATTATGCTTTGGGGGTGTTTTTCTGCTAAGGGGACAGGACAACTTCAGCGCATCAAAGGGACGATGGACGGGGCCATGTACCGTCAAATCTTGGGTAAGAACCTCCATCCCCTCAGCCAGGGCATTGAAAATAGGTTGTGGATGGGTATTCCAGCATGACAATGACCCAAAACACACGGCCAAGGCAACAAAGGAGTGGCTCAAGAAGAAGCACATTAAGGTCCTGGAGTGGCCTAGCCAGTCTCCAGACCTTAATCCCATATAAAATCTGTAGAGGGAGCTGAAGGTTCGAGTTGCCAAACGTCAGCCTTGAAACCTTAATGACTTGGAGAAGATCTGCAAAGAGGAGTGGGACAAAATCCCTCCTGAGATGTTTGGAAACCTGGTGTCCAACTACAAGAAACGTCTGACCTCTGTGATTGCCAACAAGGGTTTTGCCACCAAGTACTAAGTCATGTTTTGCAAATACTTATTTCCCTCATTAAAATGCAAATAAATTTATAAAAAATTTTAGATGCGTTTTTCTGGATTTTTTTGTTGTTATTCTGTCTCTCACTGTTCAAATAAACCTACCATTAAAATTATAGACTGATCATGTCTTTTTCAGTGGGCAAATGTACAAAATCAGCAGGGGATCAAATACTTTTTCCCTCACTGTATATATCTGCTGATATAACTATGCTATTGTTATTTAAGTTAAGGAATTAGTGTTATCTACTTGTCTGTGACTGATTAGGCCCAATGGACTATAGAGTCTTTATGCTACTCGGGGAGCTCAGCGCCGTGCTCCTTCAGTTGTACTGAGAGGTTTCTCTCTCTCTCTTTAATGGAACACTCTCCTAAACCACAGTGTTCTAGAATCATCAGTGATGAAACTCTTTGTTCTGTTCTGACTCACAGGCAGACAACCCCTCCCTCAACCTCATTATCTCAAGACCCAATCTCTTTGAGACCCAATCTCTGCTGCTACAGTCAAATTTAGAATATAGACAAATGGTGCCCTTAAAAAAGGCAAGCAACAGAAAACGCAGAGCACTTCATGAGAGGAAAATTCCATCTTGAGTGAATCAATTCTACTAAACGAGTGTTGGAGCTAGAAGACAGTGTAGAAGTGGTGAAAACTTCTGAGAAGGATTTTGAGAAGACAACTCATTCTCAATATCCTCTTCTTTGGTTATACCCCTCAGCCCTCCTTACCCCAGAGATGACCTATCTATAATGTAATAGGACTCATATCATCCGTTGGGTTCTCAAATGACCAATCTGAAGTTAAGATATTGAGTTTGTGATAAGAGTCAGGGAGGACTAGAAACAATGGTGTTATTCTTAATTTAGCCTAGTAAAAGGCATAAGCTGAAGCTCACCCCAAAACTTTTTGTAGAGGTGCTGACTAACGGAGCGCAAACTATACAAAGAAAGAAAGAAAGTCACACATTCTAATTATGCTCCCAAATATTAATCGGCATGGCAACCAACGTTTCAGCACACAATGCCTTCTTCAGGGTTACTTGGTAAATGCTTGAACCAGGTTATGTAGAAAAACAGTGCAGGTAGTGCAGCCAATGAACACAGTGAGGGGTGTGTCATAGTAATTAAGGTAATGAAGGATGAAAAAGTGGCACTGTTAAAAAAACTTATTTTACAGCATGTGTCAAGATGTTGGGGCAATTATTTACATAATCTTATGTCAACATGATTAGATATAATACATTTACATTTTCGTCATTTAGCAGACGCTCTTATCCAGAACGACTTCAGGAGCAATTAGGGTGAAGTGCCTTGCTCAAGGGCACATCGGCATATTATTTCACCTAGTCGGCTCGGGGATTCGAATAAGCGCTGTCGTGTATGAAGATTATGACGTTGTTAATGTTTTAAGTGGAACCAGAGAGGACGTTAATTTTAGTATCAAGAGGGAATGTTTTAGTGTAACGCCACATACAACAGACAGGAAGTGTGTTGTAGACAGGGGAGACTGGTGATTGGCCAGAAGAGGGAGCACCCCTCTTTTTGCATTGTTTATAAGTAGGGGCTAAACGAAGAAGAAGTCAGAGCGGCCATTGCAATCTGAGGCGTCGCTCTCCGGATGTCATGACATCTGTCACTTATGCTGTAAACGTGTGATATTAATAAAAGCCTCTAATCACAGTGCAGCCTAAGCGGACTCCTTGTTGACAGCAACAGCCACCAACAACAGACACGACAGCGCCCTTTCGGCTATTGGCCCAACGCTCTTACCCGCTAGGCTACCATAATGTTAATATCAACAATCATTATTTTTACATTTAATTTACTTTCCTCTTTGTTTCATTATTTCATTTAACATCTTCTTGTGGTTCAAACATAATGCATATTGAGCATCATCGACATGGGAAACATGATATGCAATATCAGCTAATACGCTGTGGGCAAAGCATTTTCATTGGGTTGAAATGTTCATAGAAAGGGTCTGAGATCAAAGTCAATATTCAAACCATTAGGTAGGAGATCCAGTGGTCCTCCTTCTGTAGTAGTAATGTCTCAATGTTACCTCCTCTCCTTGGTAGGGTAACATGATCCATACCTGTGTATTTGAGGGAGGAGATAGGATGGTTAGCTTCAACAAAGTGGGATGCTACTGGGTAGTCGGTGTACTCACACCTGATTGAGCTGCTGTGTTCAGCTATTCATTGTTTTAATTGTCTTTTCGTTTTGCCCAACATAAGCTTCACCGCCTCATTTAGCCAACAGAGGGAGACAGATACTGATAGTCTCACATAGAAATAGACAGTCATCTGTTGCCTACCTTTGCTGCAATAATATTCCATGTGACATGGGTGACAGGTTGTCCATAGTGTTTCTATATTTAATCTGGGTTGAACAGATAAGCAGGGGGGATTTACACTGAGTATACTAAACATTAGGAACACCTTCCTAATATTGAGTTGCACGCACCTTAAAAATCCTTATTTAACCGGTCTCCTCCCCTTCATCTACACTGATTGAAGTGGATTTAACAAGTGACATCAATAAGGGATCATAGATTTCACCTGGATTCACCTGGTCGGTCTATGGCATGTTCTTAATGTTTTGTATACTCAGTGTATGTACACATGAATATGAACCAAACGGTGTGATGCCGTTCTGACAGCACAGAATAATGTGCTTTCTGTTTGCACTGAGATAATGGCATCATTTAAACACTCACCTGTTTCTAGGCAGCCAACTATGTCCTCTTTACAGAATACTTAAGTCTCCCATGTAAACAGAGATACGTTCATGCACGAACACGAACACACACAGAGAGACTTATTCTATCGTTCTCCTTTCCGTCTGTCCATTTGTAAGGTCAAGGGGGTCTAGAGGGACCATGGACGGTAACCTGTTGTCCTTCATGCTGTTTGGGGTGGTGGTGTGGCTGGTGGTGGCTGTGTGGTACTGCTATGCTCCCTGTGCTGGAAGAACCAGGGAGAGGAAACTCACATGGAGAGTTCAGAGGTTACATCCTGCTGAGATCACGGACATCCTGTGAGAACATGACAGAAAAGGGGAAGAATACCCGCTGGGGAGCCAGGCCCAGCCAGTCAGAATGAGTTTTCCCCCACAAAAGTGCTTTATTACAGACAGAAATACTCCTCAGTTTCATCAGCTGTCCGGGTGGCTGGTCTCAGATGATCCTGCAGGTGAAGAAGCTGGATGTGGAGGTCCTGGGTTGGCGCAGTTTACACTGTGGTCTGCGGTTGTGAGGCCGGTTGGACGTACTGCCAAATTGGAGGCAGCTTATGGTAGAGAAATTAACATTAAATTATCTGGCAACAGCTCTGGTGGACATTCCTGCAGTCAGCATGCCAATTGCACGCTCCCTCAAAATTTGAGACATCTGTGGCATTGTGTTGTGTGACAAAACTGCACATTTTAAAATGGCCTTTTATTGTCCCCAGCACAAGCTGCACCTGTGTAATGATCATGCTGTTTAACCAGCTTCTTGATATGCCACACCTGTCAGGTGGATGGATTATCTTGGCAAAGGAGAAATGCTCACTAACAGGGATGTAAACAAATTTGTGCTACAAATTTGAGAGAAATAAGCATTTTGTGCGTATGGAACATTTCTGGGATCTTTTATTTCAGCTCATGAAAACATGGGACCAACGCTTTACATATATTTTTGTTCAGTATAATATATATTTGTACATAAATATGAAAAATGTGAGGGGTAGTTTAGAATATTTTATTTCAACGGTATATTACTGTTACCCACTGACATTTTGAATAACAGCACCTCTGTCATGCTGATCCTCAACACAGGGGACCCACAGGGGTGCGTGCGGAGCCCCTCCTGTACCCCCTGTTCCCCCCATGACTGCGTGGCTACGCACGTCTCCAACTCAATCATCAAGTTTGCAGACGATACAAAAGTGGTAGGCCTGACTACCAACAACAACGACACAGCCTACAGGGAGGAGGTGAGAGCCCTGGCGGAGTGGTGCCAGGCAAAAAACCTCTCCCTTAACGTCAACAAAATGAAGGAGCTGATCGTGAAATACAGGAAACAGCAGAGAGAGCACGCCCCCATCCACATAGATGGGGCCGCAGTGGAGAGGGTCAAAAGCTTCAAGTTCCTCTGCATGCACATCACTGAGGAACTGAAATGGTCCCTCCACACAGACACCGACACCGTGGTGAAACAGGCGCAACGGCGCCACTTCAACCTCAGGAGGCTGAAGAAATTCGGCTTGGCCCCTAAGATCCTCGCAAACTTCTATAGATGCACAATCGAGAGCATTCTGTCAGGCTGTATCACCGCCTGGTACGGCAACTGCAGTGCCCACAACCGCAGGGCTCTCCAGAGGGTGGTGCGGTCATCCCAACGCATCACATTGCCTGCCCTCCAGGACATCTACAGCACCCGGTGTCACAGGAAGGCCAAGAAGATCATCAAGGACCTCAGCCACCCGAGCCACGACCTGTTCACCCTGCTACCATCTAGCAGGCAGAGACAGTACAGGTGCATCAAAGCTGGAACAGAGACTGAAAAACAGCTTCCATCTCCAGGCCATCAGACTGTTAAACAGCCATCACTAGTCCGCCTCTGGCCAGTATCCTGCCCTGCACCTTAGAGACTGCTGCCATAGGTGCATAGTCACGTTTACATGAACACTAATAATTCAATATTAAACTGATTATGGTAGTGGGCTGAGTATGGCAATAGTCGTGTAAACACTTTACTCTGCTTATCTTAATCGGCATTAGGTCAAAATCGAAGTAAGCATACGCTGATTAAAACACCTGGTTTTCTGAGCAATCTTTCAAATGATTAGGGTGTGTAAACAGCTTCATGGGCGTTCCAGTGTGTATTTGATCTGCGCATGTGTCAGCATCCTCCCTCTTATTAAAGCTCTGCTACTCGACCCGACATTATACACATCAGGTTAACTAGGGTACGGGCAGGACTCAGCTAAATTGATCACTAACATTTTGAAGCTGAGCCATTTGCTCGTGCTCAGCTGCACAGTACAGTCATTACTGACTAAGATCATAACATGGTGACAAAAGTGCTTCAACCTCGTCAAATATAAGACAGGAGAGATTATTTCACAGAAAATAATAATGTTCCTTGCGTTTTGTCAGAGTTTAGAGTGACGAAAAGTAGCTAACAGCAAACTGCTTTCTCATGTCTCTTCATTGAGACCATATATACCATATAACAAGGCCGTTGACTTGTTCAAACTAAATCGTCCTTGACCTAACTCAAAATTTGGGACACAAAGAGGAGCTAAGGAAACACTGTTCACTAAATTTGGCAGAAGCAATCGGGCCTGGGTAGGGTATGGCCTGAACGTTGTGGGCATGGGTAGGGTATGGCCTGAACATCGTGGGCATGGGTAGGACTCTGGCTTAAAAGTCATGTCTGTGCAGGTCTCTACCTGTTATGTGCGAGTGAAGTAAGTTCGGAAAAAACTGAATGTTTTTCCATACAAACTTTATATGTCCGAACTTAAAATCAAATGGTCTTCGCAAAAATAACATGGTCGTTGTGGTAGAACGTTTATTTTCATTGCCGATTTTCTGCATTTATTTAAGTCCCATCAGTTAGCCTGATTTCAGATGTGTCCATGTAAACAGGATTATTAGAGAAATCGTTCTTCCTGCAAAGCATGTAAACATTTAAAAACAAACTATTATATTAATCTGACTATCCATAATAATCGTATTGTGTGTGCATATAACCGTACTCATTGAACATTGGTCACTAATAATGTTTATTGTTCTGAAATCGTTTCTGTAGTTAGATACAGATAATGTTAGCATTCCTGCAACATTATTCTGTTGAAATTAAATTTGATCTCTGAGAAATTAAGCTAATTAATTACTCACTTGTACATCCTGTATTCTCGACATAGCTGTCCTGTATAACTACTGCTGTACATAACTATTTCTTCCTTAGGCTATATTGTCTATACACACCACACATTTATATATATTCCGGACTCTGACATTGCTCGTTCTGATATTTCTTAATTTCTTGTTTTTTCTTGGGATTATTTGTGTATTAGTATTGTACTGTTAGACATTTACTGCACTGCTGGGGCTAGAAACACAAGCATTTCGCTGCACCTGCTTTAACATCTGCTAATCTGTGTAAGCGACAAATAAACGTTGATTTGCAGTAGCAAAGTTGACTTTGGCAAGGTAAAAGTGTAGACTTGAGTTCCAGGATCCGGTCGAGTAAAAGTTTTAATACAAAGCTTTTCAGGATACAGGTAGTCATGTAAAAATGCAAAGGCTAACAGCACCAGAGGCTAAAATGGATGGTGTAACAGCCATAGTTGCCAACAGCAAATGGCTACAAAGACATAATGGCCCAAGACTAGTCATTCTGAATTATACATTATATATGAAACCAACTGATACATCTTTCAATTGAACAATGAGAACAGTGAGTCATTTGCTACTTTGAGTACAGATGGATGTTCAGTCAGTTCAAGGTTGGATTGTCACAAGTTGAGGCCTGTGTCATTTGGGGCACAGAGAATGATGGAAAACACCTGTATACTTTTAGACCATTTGAAGTTGTGAGTAATTAAGCAGGTTACTCATGATATGATTGTAAGCAAAGATGTGTGAGGATATGACATCTTGGTAATCTGGGTCAGTCCCCCACACCTCCTTCCTTGTATAGTATGATAACAACATGCCTCAAGTAAACAGTAGATATTGCCTAGATACATCCTGAATGTTTGTAATACAGTCTGAAATGAGCATGGTATCGGAGTAGGGCCACTGGGTGCTATAAAGCTCCAGTGACATCTACGATTGACTTTTGTCTCCCCCATATACTTTGGACCACCACTGTGCTCCACTACTGTACAGCGCTCTTGTTGCTGGCCCTGCATAAATGTCGCAACCCACATGGCTCCAGAGTATCTATAAATCACTGCTAGGCAAATCCCTGTCTTATCTTAGCTCACTGGTCACCATAGCAACACCCACCCGTAGTCTGCGCTCCAGCAGGTATATCTCACTGGTCATCCCCAAAGCCAACACCTCCTTTAGCCGCCATTCCTTCCAGTTCTCTGCTGCCATGACTGGAACGAACTGCAAAAATCTCTGAAGCTGGAGACTCTTATCTCCCTCACTAACTTTAAGCGTCAGTTGTCAGAGCAGCTTACCGATCACTGACCTGTACACAGCCCATCTGAAATTAGCCCACCCAACTACCTCATCCCTATATTGTTATTTATTTTGATAATTTGCACCCCAGTATCTCTATTTGCACATAATCTTTTGCACATCTATCATTCCAGTGTTAATACGAAATTGTAACTATTTTGCACTATGGCCTATTTATTGCCTTACCTCCATAACTTACTACATTTGCACACACTGTAATATATTTTCTGTTGTATTTTTGACTATGCTTTGTGTACCCCATATGTAACTCTGTGTTGTTGTTTTTATCGCACTGCTTTGCTTTATCTTGGCCAGGTCGCAGTTGTAAATTAGAACTTGTTCTCAACTGGCTTACCTGGTTAAATACAGGTGAAATAAATAATAAATAAATAAAAATATAGCTTGCCCTGTCCTCCTCACACCATACACATAATTGTTTTATGGCTCAACTCAGAATCGTAATCAAGGGACTGTTATGTGTAATTACTATGTGTGGTGTCTGTGGTGTCATCCTCACAGCTTTTATTTATCTGCAAATACAGAAATAAGGTTTAGGGGTGTTGGTCTGAAGTTGTACATTCCAAATTGTAAGTGGACTTTATAAATTGGGTGCGGCTGTCTATGTAAACAATTTGAAATTGTAAACATAGCAGAAAGAAATGTATCTAATAAATAAAAAGTATTTCTCACACCTTGTTTTGGTATCTAAAAGGTTTCGCATTGACCATTGTTTTGCAGGCATTTATTTTTTAATTCACGGATTAATTAGTAACTCAGTACTCTTTAGTCTTAGGCAGGCAGAGCTGTGACTGTTCCCTCACAGTGCAAATACAACTTTGGACTCATTATTCCTGCATGTGTATTATGTCAGATTCCCTGAGAGGGAGTGTTGAGGGAGTGTCTCTACAATACTGCATGCTTATGTTTTCAAGTCAGGTCCATTCAAATGCATTCATTATAATGGATACACAGTGGCTACAAGATGTTGGGATATTTTCACCAGGACACAACTGTTGTTAAAGCTCATAATATTTCATCCATCTTCAACAGTGGCATATTTTTTGTCAAAGAGAACTCAGAGAAACATAATAGTGACTAATCATCCTCGTCAGGTTGTGATCAGTTGATACAATGTATCACTGAGTGATGGTTATGCTGTGCAACAATGTAATAATGTTGTCTGACAATGTATTTGCAACTCCAGTATCATCATGACAGCTAATCAACATGCACCAAGACCACCATAATTGATCCCATTAGTATGACTGTACCACAGATGTATTTGACTGTTCTATCCGTTTGAAAACGAGGAGGGATTTGGGAATATTCCAAGTAGTGACTTCATTTCCCGTAGTGCATATGGGCGTTGGCTTCTGCACTCTAGTAAAAGGTGTGGCCAACTGAAAACTCTTGACAACTCTAGCTCAGGTAAGGCGAAACAGCTTTTTCTGATATTTTACAAATTAGAAAACATAAAAATGTCACGCTGTTGTTCAAGTTTAGTGAAGTGCGTCATTTAGCATACTGTGACTATTTTTTTATCGACTTAATCAGCAAGAATTAGTTTCGTTTCAGCTCTCGCCAGATGGGATACAATTTCCGAAAATATTGGTTGTATTTAAAACCGTTAAAACGTACGCAATTGATTTAGATTATATTCTGATTAAATGCCTAAAGTAACACACTTACCGTAGTTCTCGAAAACCCATCTCCTTAGGGTTTTCACTGGTTAACTTCGCCCACGGCTGACTCCATGTGAACTACAATTCCGAAGCTGTGTTTTAACATTTAGAAATATAAATTAATTAATAATAAATTGGTCATTTAGCAGACGCTCTTATCCAGAGCGACTTACGGGAGCAATTAGGGTTAAGTGCCTTGCTCAAGGGCACATCGACAGATTTTTCACCTAGTCGGCTCGGGGATTAGAACCAGCAACCTTGTTTTGAAATATCAATAATCATTGCTTGCGAAAGTGTTTTCGAAACATATGGCCCTTATCTTTGATATCAGCGAGATATAATCTTTCAAAATAAATAAGATACACATACTGTAGCAGATTTGCACAGGTTTATAAACTGTTTGCCTCCAGTTGAGGAACTACACTTCCACACAGGTGTTCGGCGCATATTAGCTAGCTAATAGGTACAGGTGGTCACCTCTGTCTTCCAAAAACAAGTGCTTTAACATAGAGATATGGCCGTGTGGGAACACTAACCCTTACCCTATAAAGGTGTGTAGTAAATTAACAATTTTTTAATGATTTCTTGCTGATATGAAAGATGTGTTCCTTACGTTTCCAAAACCATACTGCAAGCGATGCGTTTTAACTTCTATAACAAGTGTCGGGGCTCTTTACAAAAGTTCCCCGGGAAGAAGATACCGTCACCAACTGGCACTAGAGTTAGTGTCTATGAATGGGCTAAACTACCCGTACTGTGGAATGTGCAACGTTGCACTGTCAATGAAGATGGATTTGGAATTGCTGTACAAATTAGGCCTATGCAGAGCATAATCACAAATACATTTAAATCTATGAATTGTTACCCTACTCCTCCTCAGTTGTAGAATATCCGCTGCAATGGCCAATGTTTGGGTAAGTTACCAGATATCACTCTACTTTCTGTAAAGGAAATACAATTTTACTAATTGTTTTAGATGATAATTGTTGCTTATGTATTCACATCTGTGCCACTTCTCTCCCTGGCCTGTGTTTGTTAGCTGGTTTCCAAGTACCTCGACTCCTCCACGGACTTTTTTTAAATGAACCTCAAGACTCCTTCGAGTCGCTATGCGTCGATACTTAAAAATAGTCAATTGTTCAACCCTTAACATGTACCTATATTTGTCCTATCTTGCGTGCCATTCTTTGTTTGCGGAAATCCATACTTGTTAATCAAATATACAACCACGTTGCTCTAAAATGGCAACTCGGTGTGAATGCGCATGTGCCAATTTAATCTTAACAAGGAAACAGTCGGTGGTTGTATTTGATAAAGTATGGATTTCAGCAAACAAAGGAAGGCATGCAACAAAGAGGTTAAAAAATAGGTACACGGTAAGGGTTTAAGAATGTACATTTTTGAATTGTCGACGCATAGTGAGTCGGAGGTTCATAAAAAAAAAAAAACTAGTCTGCTCTCAACTCCGTGGAGGATGACTGCTTGTCTTTTTTTGTTGTCAATAATGATACTCTGATGGTAAACTGTACATTTCCTTTTCAGGGTGACTTGGATCTCCTTTTGGATTCACCTTCCTCTTTGACAGTAACGGTAGGCCTACTAAGTTGTTATACTTTTATTTCAACCATGGGCTAACTAAGTACCTTAATGTAATAAAAAACGAGTTTCTGCTGTTTCTTGACATGTTTTTCTGTTTCTCAGTCCACCGCCCGAGGAACCATTAAAGAGAAAGCGGGATTCAAAGCAGCAGAAGATGTAGTTGCTCTACGGAAGGCCATAGAGGGAATCGGTAGGAATATCAATCAGTCCACCATACACTCTAAGCCAGGGGTGTCAAACTCATTTTAGCTCAGGGGCCACATGGAGGAAAATCTATTCCCAAGTGGGCCGGACCGGAAAAATCATGGTATATATATAACTTAAAAACAACAACTTCAGATTGTTTTCTTTGTTTTAATACGATCAACATACAACATAAAGCTGGAGCCTGAGGACAGTGTGTCCAAAATAGTACAAGCACAACATCACTATTAATCATAAAACACGTCAAGTTTATTTGAAAATTCTAAAGAAAAAGAACACACAAACACACACTGCCTCAGTGATTAACAGAACTGTTTCACAGATCACAGAACTATATCAGGGTGTCATTTCTCAGGCAAAAATGTAGATACAAATAATGAAATCCTGTTCCCCAAACAAGTGCAAGAACCACAGTCAAGAATAGGTTAAATATACAAATAAAATAAAATCAATTAAAAACAATAGCACATCAACATAAAAACATATAAACTTAAATCTGAAAGCGTTGCTCAAACTCCTGTAACAGTCCCGTTATTTTATCTTTGAACCGCTTCATGTCTGCCACATGTTGGGTCGCGCACAAATTTTTCAGACAGGGGAAGTGAGCTGCATCACCACCGGCAAGTTGCGTCTCCCACAATGACAGCTTCAACTTGAAAGAACGTATGCTGTCATAATACTGCGTGACAACTTTGTTGCGCCCTTGCAGCTGTTTGTTCAAGTTATTCAGGTGCTCTGTACCATCCACCATAAATGCAAGGTCCTGCATCCATTCTGTGGAATGAAATTCTAACACTGGTTTGCCATTTTCTTCCATGAACTGTTCAATTTCTTCTCGTAAATCAAAGAAACGCCTCAGCACAGCACCTCGGCTTAACCATCTTACCTCAGTGTGGTATGGCAGGCCATAGATGTGGTCTTTCTCTCTGAGAAGGCTGTCAAACTGACGGTGATTCAGGCTTCTGGATCGGATGAAATTAACAGTTTGGATGACCACCTTCATGACGTTATCCATCTTTAATGACTTGCAACACAAAGCCTCCTGGTGCAAAATACAGTGAAAAGTCAAAAAATCACGTCCTCCATTTGCAGATTGCACTTTCTCTCTGAACTTTGTCACAACGCCTGCTTTTTTCCCGATCATTGAGGGCGCACCATCTGTAGCCAGGCTGACCCTGTCCAGCGCGCCGACGAGTGCGGTAAAAATATCAGCTGCTGTCGTTGTATCTGTCATCGGCACCAACTCCACGAACTCCTCGGTGACGGTCAATGTGTCATCAACTCCGCGGATGGAAATGGCCAGTTGTGCAACATCTGTAATGTCCGTGCTTTCATCAATTGCAACCGAAAACGCAATAAATGACTTTACTTTTTGCTTCAACTGGCTGTCCAAATCCACTGAAAGATCGGAAATCCTGTCTGCAACTGTGTTTCTTGTCAGGCTGATATTTGCAAAAGCCTGCCGCTTTTCAGGGCACACAATCTCCGCTGCCTTCCTCATGCATGTTTTTACAAATTCACCCTCACTAAATGGTTTTGAAGCCACTGCGATTTCATTAGCAATGAGGTAGCTAGCTTTCACTGCAGTGTCACTGATGTCTCGGCTGTGAGTAAACACAGACTGCTGTTTCTTCAGACCCGCCAACAGTTCATTCACCTTCTCTCATCTCCGCTGTCCTTGAAAGTTGTCATATTTGTCGGCATGAAGACTCACATAGTGGCGACGAAGGTTATATTCTTTCAGCACTGCAACATGCTCTGAACACACCAAACATACAGCTTTCCCATTAAATTCCGTGAATAAATAGGATGACCATTTTTCTTGGAACACTCTGCACTCTGCGTCCACTTTTCTCTTTTTTGACAGAGACATATTGGGGCAATGAGGGTGCCAAAGCACATAATGTTAAAAGTAGAAGCCGTAATAAATATCGCGGGCAAAACAAAGTAGCTCATTGGCTGCACGTGCTTGACCTACTTGCTCTGCCCCGGTATAAACAGTTTGCTTGCTTAACACAATTGCTATTGCGCCATCCAGTGGACGCAATTGGAACAGCATATTTTATTGAAAAATTGCAGCGCATTTTTGTACTTTACAAAATTATTATTATTATTTTTTTTATCATCTCGCGGGCCGGATTAAACCCGTTTGCGGGCCTGATCCGGCCCGCGGGCCGGACGTTTGACACCCCTGCTCTAAGCTCTTCACTGTACTCTACCACATATCAACCTAGAAATAACTTATTTGATGCCGCATGATATGAATTTTCACTTTGATAGGAATTTTAATGATCCATGTAGCTCAGTTGTTTCAGCATGGCGCTTGCAACGCCAGGGTTGTGGGTTCGATTCCCACGGGGGACCAGTATGAAAATGTATGCCCTCACTACTGTAAGTCGCTCCTGTGTGTGTGTGTGTGTGTTCATGCTCCCAGGTACCACTGAGAAGACCCTGGTTGAAGTTCTAACCGGGAGGAGCAATGCCCAGCGTCAGCTCATCTGTAAAGCCTACCAGGAAGCTACCAACAGGGTAAAACTATCCCTCTACTACCCTAAATATTAGCAGCATGATAGTTTTTATAGAATTTATAGAGAACATCTTGTCCAGATATCTCTGAATATTGCATGAGTCAATATCCAACCCTGATGTTGCCCTGTTGATGACCTTTGACCCCTCCCCCTCAGACGTTAGTGGATGACCTGAAGGGGGACACCCATGGGGACTTTGAGGACCTGCTGGTGGCTCTGGTCACCCCTCCTGCTCTTTTTGACTGTCATGAGGTCATCAGAGCCACCAAGGTAAGGGACATCTATCTGTATCAGGTAACTATCTGATACCAAACATTACTGTGTAATTACCATTTATCATGTACTTTGTGAATACCTGCCTGTTACACACACAGGGTGCTGGGACAACTGAGGAGACTTTAACAGAGATATTTGCCTCAAGATCCAACAAGCAAATCAAGGCTCTATCTGATGCATACTTAACAGGTTAGTAGAGTCTAATTAATTATCTAAACTATCTTAGTTTTAAAGTTGCACTATGCATAAATGTTTGCTAAAGCTCAAATAGTTAGCGTCATTTCAGTTTGTGACAAAATAAGCTAGTATAGTGTATATAATCATTGTGCCATCTAAACCACTGTGAAATATATTTTCCATAACAAATATTGTTGTATCAGCTGTTTGAAGCTGGTGTACAAAACTGAAAGTAAGCAAAAACAAAAACTTAAGAATGGGAAGCATAGAAATAGCTCACGTAGAACAGATCTACAACTTCTTACACTTGCTTTAAAGTAGAATGATTGATCTATAACCTATGTGAATTTGGTTGGTTGCCCAAAAAGTTACATATTGCCACTTTAATTGGTTGTCAACCATCTATTAGTTGAATACTAATAAGGTATTGTATTTGACCACAGAAACTGGGAGAGCGATGACTCATGACCTCAAGTCTGAGATATCTGGGGACTATGCTACAACACTTCTCATCTTGGCTGAGGTAAAATGAGAACTTTATTGTCCCCAGGGGGAAATTGTCTTGGACATACAAGTCACAGGGGTATTTCTGTTTAATAGGTTTTTCAGCTGCTTGTGAGCTGTAACTCTTAGATTACTTTTTCAACCTTTCTGTTCGGTGTCTGTCATTTTAAGGGAAAACGAGATGAGAGTACGAATGTGGACCCAGCTAAAGCTAAAGTGGATGCTAAGGTACAGTGAGATATGATGAATTTGTCAACCATGCTCAGTATTTCACTGGTCTTGGTTTTAAACTTCCTGGGGAGTGACTCACTCAGACGTCCTGCCAAACACTTGTCATCGTGAAGTGTGTACCTTAATGTAATTAAATATATTGGTTTGTTCGTCTTCCATATTCTCTCTCTCTCATGCCAATGCATGATAGTGCCTAACAAGTACTGTGCTGTCTGTGTCCCTGTCCCTCCCCTCTCTAGGCCCTGTACGAGGCAGGAGAGAAGAAGTGGGGGACTGATGAAAGCAAGTTCATTGACATCCTGTGTCACCGGAGTGTTCCTCAGCTGAGACAGAGTTAGTAACCTTGGTCTAGCAAAGCACTGTTGGACACAATACTGTAATCTAGTCTTCTGGATGATGATGATTTAGTCTAACGGGATCCGTTTCTCTCCCTCCCCTTACAGCACTAGTGGAGTATAAGGCCTTGAGCAACAAAACTCTACAGGAGAGCATTGAGAGGGAGATGTCAGGGAATCTAGAGGATCTACTGGTGGCTATTGGTACGAAGGACTAATCACAGTACTTGTTCGTCTGGTTGCCTATCACTCTCAAAGATGTCATGCACTGTTCTGTTATCGCTAACAAACCCTTTCACTTTCCAGTGAAATGTGTGAAGAGTGTTCCTGCCTACCTGGCTGAGAGACTTTTCAAAAGCATGAAGGTGAGCACAATTCTTCTTGTTTATGCATTTTAAAAATTGTTTTGTTTTTGAGGCATCATGCTGCTCATGCACTATTCTCCACCCACCGAGCCCAACAGATTACAAGGTCATAGTGCATGGTGCCTAGCCTGATGTCAGATCTGTTTGTGCTGCCTTGGCAACTCCTATGGTCATTTTCATGCCAAACTGCACATTAATGGCCATCTGATTTTACAAGACGGCCCGAACAGATCTGGGACTGTTGTCCTTTTTTTGCATTTCTTCAAATGTGCTTACATGTTTTTTCTTTTCATGGCATCATGCAGACATGGCATTTCTTCTAATCCAGTGGGTTCCAGTGGTGTAGAATGTTAATCTGTGGGGTTTTGGGATTAATCCAGTGGTTTTGTGTCCAGGGTGTGGGGACCACAGAGTCCACTATGACCAGGATAATGGTTGGCCGCTCGGAGATGGACATGCTGGACATCAGGGCAGAGTTCAAAAAGCTGTTTGGCTGTTCTCTCTACTCTACCATTAAGGTATGTGCCGGTAAATCTGGCTGACTGGTAACATACTTATCCCATAGAAAATTGACCCCAAGAAATGTAGCTATCTTTTACAGGATGATTGTTTTGACCAATTAGTTACAGTGCACTTTTTCCACATTTTGTTACGTTACAGCCTTATTCTAAAATGGATGAAATTGTTTTTCCCTCATCAATCTACACACAATACCCTTTACTAAGTACTTTGTTGAAGCACCTTTGGCAGCGATTACAGCCTCTAGTCTTCTTGGGTGTCACACTACAAGCTTGTCACACCTGTATTTGGGGAGTTTCTCCCATTATTCTCTGCAGATCCTCTCAAGCTCTGTCAGGTTCGATGGGGCGCGTCGCTGCACAGCTATTTTCTGGTCTCTCCAGAGATGTTTGATCGGCTTCAAGTCCGGGCTCTGGCTGGGCCACTCAATGACATTCAGAGACTTGTCCCGAAGCCCCCCCCCCCCCACAGCATGATGATGCTGCTGCTGCCACCACCAAGTCTGCCTACCCATGTGAGAGACGCAGACTCGGTCTCAACCTTTAAGTCTTTACTGAAGACTTATCTCTTCAGTAGGTCATATGATTGAGTGTAGTCTGGCCCAGGAGTGTGAAGGTGAACGGAAAGGCTCTGGAGCAACGAACAGCCCTTGCTGTCTCTGCCAGGCCGGTTCCCCTCTCTCCACTGGGGTTCTCTGCCTCTAACCCTGTTACAGGGGCTGAGTCACTGGCTTGCTGGTGCTCTTTCATGCCATCCCTAGGAGGGGTGCGTCACTTGAGTGGGTTGAGTTACTGACGTGGTCTTCCTGTCTGGGTTGGCGCCCCCCCTTGGTTTGTGCTGTGGTGGAGACCTCTGTGGGCTATACTCGGCCTTGTCTCAGGATTGTAAGTTGGTGGTTGAGGATATCCCTCTAGTGGTGCGGGGGCTGTGCTTTGGCAGAGTGGGTGGGGTTATATCCTTCCTGTTTGGCCCTGTCCGGGGGTTTCTTCGGATGGGGCCACAGTGTCTCCGGACCGCTCCTGTCTCAGCCTCCAGTATTTATGCTGCAGTAGTTTATGTGTCGGGGGGCTGGGGTTAGTTGGTTATACCTGGAGTACTTCTCCTGTCTTATCCAGTGTCCTGTGTGAATTTAAGTATGCTCTCTCTAATTCTCTCGTTCTCTCTTTCTCTCTGAGAACCTGAGCCCTAGGACCATACGTCAGGACTACCGGGCATGATGACACCTTGCTGTCCCCAGTCCGCCTGGCCTTGCTGCTATTCCAGTTTCAACTGTTCTGCCTGCGGTTACGAAACCCCTACCTGTCCCAGACCTGCTGTTTTCAACTCTTAATGATCGGCTATGAAAAGCCAACTGAGATTTATTCCTGATTATTATTTGACCATGCTTGTCACTTATGAACATTTTTTGAACATCTTGGCATGGTTCTGTTATAATCTCCACCCGGCACAGCCAGAAGAGGACTGGCCACCCCTCATAGCCTGGTTCCTCTCTAGGTTTCTTCCTAGGTTTTGGCCTTTCTAGGGAGTTTTTCCTAGCCACCGTGCTTCTACACCTGCATTACTAGCTGTTTGGGGTTTTAGGCTGGGTTTCTGTACAGCACTTCGAGATATTAGCTGATGTAAGAAGAGCTATATAAAATTGATTGATTGATTCACTGTAGGGAGAGTGCCAGTTTTCCTCCGGATGTGGCACTTGGCATTCAGGCCAAAGAGTTCAATATTGGTTTCATCAGACCAGATAATCTTGCCTTTTGGCAAACTCCAAGCGGGCTGTCATGTGCCTTTTACTGAGGAGTGTCTTCCATCTGGCCACTCTACCATAAAGGCCTGATTGGTGGAGTGCTGCAGAGATGGTTGTCCTTCCAGAAGGTTCTCCCATCTCCACAGAGGAACTCTAGCGCTCTGTCAGTGACCATCGGGTTCTAGGTCACCTCCCTGACCAAGGCCCTTCTCCCCCGATTGCTCAGTTTGGCTGGGCGGCCAGCTCTAGGAAGAGTCTTGGTGGTTCCAAACTTCTTCCATTTAAGAATGATGGAGGCCACTGTGTTCTTGGGGACCTTCAATGCTGAAGACATTTTTTGGTACGCTTTCCCAGATCTGTGCCTCGACACAATCCTGTCTCAAAGCTCTACGGACAATTCCGTCGACCTCATGGCTTGGTTTTTGGTCTGACATGCACTGTCAACTGTAGGACCTTATATAGACAGGTGTGTGCCTTTCCAAATCATGTCCAATCAATTGAATATACCACAGGTGGACTCCAAGCAAGTTGTAGAAACATCTCAAGGATGATCAATGGAAACAGGATGCACCTGAGCTTAATTTCGAGTATCATAGCAAAGGGTCTGAATACTTATGTAAAGATATTTCAGCTTTTTATTTGTAATAAATGTGCTAAAATTTCTAAACCTGTTCGCTTTGTCATTATGGGGTATTGTGTGTAGATTGATGAGGAAAACAATTAATTTAATCAATTTTATAAGGCTGTCATGTGGAAAAAGGCAATACTTTCCAAATACACTATAACTGCTGATTTATTTTAATGACTGCGGAATTCAACATGATTGGAATTGATTTATTTCCAACCGTACCTCTATCCTGTGATTGGTCATTTGGTCAACCAATCTGATCTGCATGCGATTGCGAATGAGACCTTTAATTGTGATTTTGGGAATTTTATGTGGCATTTTATTTATTGCGTGGTCAGTCGTAAGTGTCCAGTAACGTGCTGAAGATTCTCTGTGGAGGAAATAGCGATCGACTCCGCCCCCTGCCTGAGTTGCTAAACCCGCTTCCAGTGGGAGGAGTTACCCGCAGGATACTCTCTGATAAGCATCGCTACTCTGCTTACCTCCGTCCCATGTTTCACCTGCTGCTGCCCCAACCCTGTTTCTGCCTCCGAATGACAAACCTCTGAGTGATATATGAGACTGCTATTCTGTTATTTAGAGCGCAGCTTCACTCACTGCAATCAGTACCACTTTCCCTTGCTGCTTCAATGGACCATTTCACATGTCTAAGGTCCGGATCAATAAGTCCTGTTAATAGGATCTGTGAAATTGATCATACTCTGTATCATAGCCATGTAACAGTACTCTCCATCCCTGTGTTCAATTGTAGTCTGATACTGCTGGAAGTTATGGACAAGCTCTGCTGAAGCTGTGTGGTGAAGACGACTGATATTAAAGTCCTGTCTACTCGGCATTGAGGAGCCTCCCACCGAAGGATCATAACAATGTGAAGGCTGCAGTGTACTGCACAGGTTAGATTTGTTATAGACACACTCTCTGTGTTATCCTGAAAAACATGGATATATGTTTGTTTCAATGTTCACAAAGTTTGACATTGGGATGTGTAACCTGGAACACGTAACGTCTTCAGACAACCCAGCCCAGACACATTCCAGGATTCCTTAGCCAGAGTCACCTATTTCTGTTAGATGTATTTCCAACTTTTACATTCCTGAATGCATTTTATTAGGACAAACCTTTATTGGTATACTTGCATAAGTATTATCCAAATTATTATAGATATCAGGAAGGAAGGTATTCAATCTGTTCTTGTATGAGAAGTAGTATTAAAACAGTTTACTAACAGTTGATTGTCATGTGGTCTTTTGTCCAGTGGGTGGCGATGAAGCATATCTGGATAATACATTTAACATTTACATTTTAGTCATTTAGCAGACGCTCTTATCCAGAGCGACTTAGTTAGTGAGTGCATACATTTTTCATAATACCATGTGTAGGTCAAGGATCAGTGATTCAGTTTAGCAATTTTATGTTCAGTTTTCTTGTAAAGAGGTTTAACAAAAATACTTGAATTGGATTTGCTAACAATAACTGACAATGCTTCTGAATCAGATGTGAAATGGAGTCTTTCTTTTAATACAAAGCCCAGATCTCACCATATAATCCCCAAGACAATGCAGACTCCGTTTGAGGAGTTGACACGTAATGCGGTGATTAAGCAGTGAAAGCTGTTTAGCCCAATTCTCTGATATAATTTATGATTGGTATTTTACATGGCATTAATGTTCCCCCTGTATATAGCCTCCCTACTGTTATTTTATTTTACTTCTACTCTTTTTTTCAGAACACTTTTTTATTTATTTTTTATTTTACTTTTTTATAAAAAAATTAACACATTGTTGGTTAAGGGCTGTAAGTAAGCATTTCACGGTAATGTCTACACCTGATGTATTCGGCGCATGTGGCAAATACATTTTAATTTGATTTAATCTGTCTGCACCTGAGAATAATGACAATGTGTCAAGTTAGACAAAGCGTGATAAATCCTCTGCAATGTTTTGCCAACAGACTGCCGTGACGAAAGATGTGCTTTGTCATTATCTCAGGCAAGACTGTCTAATCTGGACATTTGTTGTCTCTTGGGAGTATCTAACTCCAACCCTTTCTTACAAAATTCAAATTAGTGGCTGTAAGAAAAGAACAATGGCTGTAGATTATAATCCCTCAATTTGCGCTGGCAGGTCAGAGATTACAACAGATTGTAGAATGGGATTAATTGAAAATATTGTCATGACAACTACGCCTTTGTATAAAACGTGGTGGCAAGGACAAGACGATGCTGTCGTTAACTTTGAGGAGGATGGCATTTTTTTAATAACCGTAGAAAGCCACAAGTTAAAGTAAATGAGAGTAATGGCTTTTTTTCTTTTTTGACATTTGAATTCAACAACGATATTCCTTTAGGCATTCTTTATTCATTTATAATACTCAAGATGTCATTTACAGATAAAATAATGTGACCCTTTTAGTCAGTGCATTCCAGCATTCAAAAGTAAAGGTCCATCAATATTGGCAAAATGAATGGAAAAACAAATGTTGAACAACAAACCAAAGACCGACATTATAGCAACCAGATAAAATACAGTTAAATAATTAAATTAAAGGCATACTTGAAACAAAAGCTAATTTACAAACAAGGCAAACAGTCTTTGCTATTATGTTTCCAGTCATTACAGGCTGTGAATATCACAGAGTGGGCCTTTAACGGCTGTGATATGTTCTGAGCATCATTATCTGACAAGGTCGAATGACCTCTGGGTATTAGCTACACAGTAGGAGATCTACAGTACAGGAGGCTGGTGAGGGGAGGACTGCTGATAACAATGGCTGGAATGGAATCAATGGAATGGTATTAAAACACAAGTCACGTGTTTATCATTCCATTAATTCCATTCCAGCCATTACTATAAGCCCGTCGACCCCAATGACGGTGCCACCAGCCACCTGTGATCTACAGTACACCATATTGTGCATAGGTAGACCTGTCAGTAATGTGATTGTGGTGTAAAACCGTACAGTACAATATTAATCATACAATAGATAATACTGGCCTCTAAAGTATTTGTTCTTATGCAGTTCACATACCCATTTACTATATAGTAAGCACCATCAGCGGGGTGTCTAAAACCGGATGCATCCGGTTTTCAGGGGAAATGGAAGAGAGCCTGTGACGCGACTTCAGCTTTTGGATGTTAAAAAGGCAACACTCCATCTTAACTCCTCCACATTTACTGGATTGGTTAAACAGTGCAGAAGAGAACCTCCCCCAACAGTTTTATTTTTGATTTTTTTCTCATCAGGTCCAGAATGTGGGGCATCCTACTCAGGCCTTTATTTTATGCCTGCTACGTTAGGTTATATAGTAAGTGAATAGAAGGACAGATTCATAAATTGTTAATAGACTAACAAATTAAGGCAAGGGTAATTTCCTCCCAATCTATTTTATTGGGTTTATTTTTAGTTACATTTCTCTAAACAGTTCCTGAATCAGCCCTTAGATTCAATTGGATTATGAGAGGAAGGAGGTCAGTTGACTACTAAAAGTAACCCCACCATTAATGAATACAGTAAGATAAAACTACTCAGGCTAAAATAATTGATCATAGGCTCTATGCTCAGTTTCCATAGGATATATATTCTAGATTGCACATAACCCTTGTAAGGTCCCATGTCCTCAAGGCAGCATTACGAGAAGTACTATTTCACAGCATGTAACATTCAATCAGTAGCTTACATGCAAAATAATAGATACAAATCAGGTTTAAAAAAGATCTTGAATACGAAAAGCTAAACGGAGAATCACAGAACATGTTCAGTTGTAGCAGTATATGTATTGTGTACAGTGTCCTAATGACTTACCCAACCTGGTCCCAGATCTGTTTGTGCCGTCTTGCTTCCCAGACCTGTGACCGGGCTATGACTGACCTGTCTTTCCTTCTCTTATAACCTATCCTTACAGAAGTGTCAGCAGAAAGCAGATATGATTGCATACCACCAATCGCAATCCTTAAAACCAGAGAGATGGTTTCACATGCAAGGTCTAACGGTGATGTTGTTCTGGTAGGGGGGCTATGCTCTTGTCTGCTTGACTGGGCATCTGTATGATAGAATTCTAGAGGTCTGTAGTCTGGTTTGATTGCATCGAGTGGCTACAGTACAGGCTGTTGTTGCTCAGTCGGTGGCTGGGCCAGTTTGAGGCTCTAGTCACTGCTGGTGTAGTCTCTGAGCATTTCGTATTATTCTGTACGTAATTCCGAGACACTCCATTTAGTATGATATGTTACGTATTGTATGTATTAATTTGTGGATGTCCATCATCCATTTCGTATATGTTACGAATTACAATTCGTTATGATATGTTACGAATTTGCAAAACGTACTATATTTTACGAATTCCAATTTGTTGTGGCTAACGTTAGCTAGGTTAGGGTTCGGAGTTAGGTTAAAGGGTTAAGGTTAGGGGAAGGGTTAGCTAACATGCAAAGTAGCTAAAAAGTTGTAAGTAGTTGAAAAGTTGCTAAAATGCTGAAGTTGTCCGTGATGAGATTTGAACACGCAACCTTTTGGATTGCTAGACATTCACGTTATACGCCCACCCATCCACCTCGACCAATCACACATACCAAACATAACATATACTAATTTGAGTGTCCCAGATTTACTATGTTACGTCTAGTCTATCAGACCAGGCTGGGTGTAGAGAGGAGGGCAGGGCTGGCTGTGTCTGAATTTCATGATATACACTGCAGTCTGGTGCCACCAGTAGAGTAAGAACACCACAAGGACATGCCACACCTGGTGGCTGGCACCCAGATAGTTCAGCTGACCTGTGGAGGTCAAAGGGCATCACAAGGTCACTTCAAATGTCCAGCGCATTTCAAGGAATCAATTTGAGCAAGACAAGGTGCAGAATTACTCATCTTATTCACATGACACAGGTTCTTTTCTATGCAAGGTGATTTGTAGTATTGTGAAATCGATGTGTCAAGCATGAAGGCTCACCTGGGAAGCAGCGTTCTGGGATTTTAGAGATGTAAAAGAGGAAGGCAGCTCCAGCTATCAAATACATCACAATCACACGAGGGAGGAACAACTGCAGACAGAGAGAACAGATGGTAAGGGTAACAATACTTGACTCTGATGCATAATTGTACTGTTTATGAAGGTGTTATGAAGTCAACACAATTTCAAATAAAGTGTTACCTAATATTGTAATTCAGGAATCTACTGCCTCACCTGGACGACAGCTGAGCCGAGGCCTTCATTGAGCCAGACCCAGTGGCCGGCGGGGATGATCCCGTAGCCAGCCACAGAGCAGAAGATGGCAGTACGCTGGTGTCGCCACTCCTTAGAGTGGTAGTGAGGGTGGATCTGAGCTAAGAACACAGCCAATATCAACGCTAGAGCAGTCACCAGGTACACCTGTCTCCAGAACTATTGATGAGAGAGGGTGGGGGTAGAAGACAGGAAACGGGGAACGATATGTGGGGAGAAGAGATGGGATTTCAGAGCCAGTTTGCGCAAGTATATCTTTACAGAAACAAACAGTATGAGTGAAAAATAAAACAAATGATGGAATGTATTATTGTCCAACATACAGTGATGCAGTAGAAGGCATAGAAGACCCCTGGAATGTAACAGCCCAGGATTCCCACAGAGATTCCAACGAAGTCCAGCGCCAACCAGCGGTGACACGTCTTCTCTGAGAGGTGGCAGGAGAACATGTGATACCCTGCAGAACACAGCATACACACCTAGAAACACAACAACAGGTAAAACACACCAGCATTACTTCTCCTGAACACAGGAAACCATAACAAAATAAGACTGACAGATAGATAGCTGTGACCTCTCGCTCTCTTTCTTTCGGTCTCGTTCTTTATGTCCATCCGTCTCTCTCCCTCACCCACCCACACATACACACACGCACACACATACACACACACCTGAAAGCAGAAGAGTGCTATGCAGTAGATGACATAGTCTTCTCTGTTGGCACCTGAAGCTGGCAGGACAATAGACATGTCATTCACCCCCAGTAGGAAGAACAGGAGGAAGCCCAACAGATGAGTCCATATGTTGACTGTCTCATTGGACAGCACAAATATGCTAGAGTGGTGGAAAACAATACACAACACTGTCAACAACTAGCCTGGTTCCAGATCTGTTTGTGCTGTCTTGCCAACTGCTATGGTCATTTTGTTTGGTGTGACGAGGACCATATGAGTTGGCAAGACAGTACAGACCTGGGACCAGGCTATACAACAACTAGCAACAACACTGTATAACAACGTACTACGTTACATTGAGTTTAGCTATACTATTCTCTTGACATACCTTTTTAAACAGAGTTTGGATTTTAAACGGGCTCTGTATCCATCTGTAATGTATGGGTTTTCTTTCATGAATAACGGGATCTGTTCAAATGTGTATAGGCGGATTCCCCTTGGCATAAGGATGGGCCAGTAACTGGCCAGCCACTGGTAACTTCCCAGGAGTAACTTGAGGAGTTTATGAGGCATTTTGGACCATCAGATTTCACGGTTCTGGCACAGGTTAAAGGCTGAAAAGATGAAAGGGGCACACCACAGGGTAAAGTTATGGCATGGCACTAAGGTGTCACTACAATCTAACGTTTGCCAGAAGATACTGACCCTACCATTATGGTTGTTTACTCTGAGCTGCACTGGGGTCTGAACGCAATCATGGTTCCATTAAGACACAGTGGAGCCGGCGTGAGATACGGGTCGCAAAACGTACCTCAATGCAGGGATGGGCACTGCCCTTTTCATCATGCTAGCTAACAGTAGCCACAGCAGCCATTATGGAATGGCACGTGGCGTTGAACAACAAAGGAGCTGATTGGCTGACACTCCATTCCAAAATGGCTGCAGTGGCTACTGCTAGCTAGTATGAGGACAAAAACTGCAGTTTTCTGGGAAAATTAGCAGTATTTCAATCTTCTCGATATATCACTGTGAATAAAGGTAAGATTTAGTGGCATATCCCGTCCCTTAATTGAGGTACGTTTTCCAACCCATATCTCGCGCCAGCTCCACTGTGTTTTAAAAGCAGATTTTTATGGTCAATCCGAGTCTGCAGTGGCTGTACAGCATTTACAGCGATGCGGCCTCCGCAGAAGTCAGAGTATTCATACTTCTTGCGCTTCGGGCAGCTGTCATACGCATCCAATAGATTGGTCTGCACCGCACCACTCGTAGTGATTCAAGGTTAATCTCTATAGCCATCCAGCTAATTACGAGCAACTGGCTAAACAAAAAGAAAAGACCTTACCTCTTCTGAGATGTTGGAGTCCATTTCCCGATGCTTGACATAGGAGCTCAGCCAAAATAGCATGAAGTAAAAAGGCTGTACCGTTTTCCCACCTGCACCTCCCCATTGCCCCTCAGCAAAATCAGCCCACATTTAGGTTATTGTTTATATGTGTATTTCTCACTATATGTTTGTATGGATGTCAACCCCAATACATGTTCATGTCATCAATCAACTGCATTACAGTTAAAAATGACTTTGACTACCACCACCAATTTCTGTATGCTAGCTATGCTAACCAGCTTATGCAAATGGGAGTTAGCGTTTAGCAGTCATTTTTTCTAAACCTGAAAAGGGACAACTTCTAAATGTTATGCAGCGAAAACAGCCAAATATATCCAAATCGGATTTTAGTAACCACATTGTGGGCCTGTTACAGTACATCACTCATGACGGATTTGACAAATATCCACTTTGTTAGATCAGATTTATTGAATGTGCGCCAATCCAGTGTCCTCCTATCCCCCACAGTCTACATTCCATTTACCTCTTTATTCCGTTGACCTCTTTATTACATTGACCTCTTTACCGCATCTATCCCCATTACCTCCCCGATCTCTTTCCAGGAGTTCAAACACATTTTTGTGTCTTTGAAATCCCTACATAAAGATGTATTTTATTTGTGAACTTGTTCTGATAGCCTTTCGTCAAAGTTCTCCATGTTTTTTGTGACGGAAGCGAGTTTGTGTTTATACAAGATGTACTGTCCCCCCACCTACCATCAACCAATCACGTCAATGTGGAGCTACAGTACCAGTCAAAAGTTTGGACACACCTACTCATTCAAGGGTTTCTCTTTATTTTTACTATTTTGTAGTAGAGACATCAAAACTATGAAATAACACATGGAATCATGTAGTAACCAAAAAAGTGTTAAACAAATCTATATATTTGATATTATTCAAATAGCCACCCTTTGCCTTGATGACAGCTTTGCACACTCTTGGCATTCTCTCAACCAACTTCACCTGGAATGCTTTTCCAACAGTCTTGAAGGAGTTCCCATATGCTGAGCACTTGTTGGCTGCTTTTCCTTCACTCTGCGGTCCGACTCATCCCAAACCATCTAAATTGGGTTGAGGTCGGGGGATTGTGGAGGCCAGGTCATCTGATGCAGCACTCCATCATTCTCCTTCTTGGTAAAATAGCCCTTACACAGCCTGGAGGTGTGTTGGATCATTGTCCTGTTGGAAAAACAAATGATAGTCCCACTAAGGCCAAACCAGATGGGATGGCATATCAACGCAGAATGCTGTGGTAGCCATGCTGGTTAAGTGTGCCTTGAATTCTAAATAAATCACAGACCGTGTCACCAACAAAGCACCCCCACACCATAACACCTCGTCCTCCATGCTTTACGGTGGGAACTACATATGCAGAGATCATCTGTTCACCCACACTGCGTCTCACAAAGACACAGTGGTTGGAACCAAAAATCTCAAATTTGGACTCCTTGTGTTTCTTGGCCCAAGCAGGTCTCTTCTTCTTATTGGTGTCCTTTAGTAGTGGTTTCTTTGCAGTAATTCGACCATGAAGGCCTGATTCATGCTGTCTCCTCTGAACAGTTGATGTTGATGTGTCTGTGACTTGAACTCTGTGAAGCATTTATTTGGCCTGCAATTTCTGAAGCTGGTAACTCTAATGAACTTATTCTCTGCAGCAGAGGTAACTCTGGGTCTTCCATTCCTGTGGCGGTCCTCATGAGAGCCAGTTTCATCATAGCGCTTGATGGTTTTTGCGACTGCACTTGAATAAACTTTAAAAGTTCTTGAAATGTTCCGTATTGACTAACCTTCATGTCATAAAGTAATGATGGACTGTCGTTTCTCTTTGCTTATTTGAGCTGTCCTTGCCATAATATGGACTTGGTCTTTTACCAAATAGGGATATATTTTGTATACCCCCCCTACCTTGTCACAACACAACTGATTGGCTCAAACGCATTAAGAAGGAAAGAAATTCCACAAGTAACTTTTCAGAAGGCACACCTGTTAATTGAAATGCATTCCAGGTGACTACCTCATGAAGCTGGTTGAGAGAATGCCAAGTGTGCAAAGCTGTCATCAAGGCAAAGGGTGGCTATTTGAAGACTCGCAAATATAAAATATATTTTGATTTGTTTAACACTTTTTTGGTTACTACATGATTCCGTATGTTATTTCATAGTTTTGATGTCTTCACTATTATTCTACAATGTAAAAAAGAAAAACCCTTGAATAATTAGGTGTCCAAACGTTTGACTGGTAGTGTATATGCAGTGCTTGACTTGGACTGAAATAGGTGACGGTACTCATTTTGGGTGCCGGTACGGTTTATATTTAGGTGCAGCAGCTCTACAATACTTTTGAGCTAATATTCTATAAGAGGAACAGGAGCTCAAGCAGTAGACAATTTGAGGTGCCGGTACTCAGCTCAGGCGAGCTCCTGCCCAAATCAAGCACTGGCTATATGGAAATTTGTGGAGCTGTCTAGCCCTCGGCATTGCCATATGGAGCTAAATTAGGCCGCCTGATGGCATTGATAGATGAAGCATAAATTGGCTTTTAATGTATGAAAAATGTATGCACTCACTAAACTGTAAGTCGCTCTGGATAAGAGCGTCTGCTAAATGACAAAAATGTAAATGTAACCATGATTGCTTCCGACCCCAGTGCAGCTCAGTGTAAACAAGCATAACGGTAGGGGTCAGTATATTCTGGCAAGCATAACGGTAGATACATTTTCTAGGAAAGACTAATAGAGGATCTAAAGCTATGACTAATAAAATCAGCAAGTCAACATGCTTTTGGTAATAGCTAGTTTATTGGAATAAATCAGAGCTAAGCGATTTATCAAAATATAGGCATTCCTCTTGCATTCCAACTTGAAATTTAGCCGGGCATGCTAGCATGCGGAATTGATATCGCAAAGATAAAATTACCTTTTGTTGCATGCTATCGATGGCTACGCGGTGTCATCTAGCTACAATACACCTTACTTTGTGATATAGAAAGCTATTAATACACTATTCTAAGCAGCTGGCTAGCCCAGCAGCTCATGCTAGCGAGTCCATAAGCACAAAACAAAAAACAGCGTTCTGAAATTACACAATGTACATGGCTGCGCAAGTCGTGCCCGAGGACCCCAGCTCTGGACTTAATAAACTGCCTGAATACAATACGATCAAAGACAGTAACTGTGATACGATTTCATGAACAGCAGTTGAATAAGTCTGGGTGGGTCCAAATATCTGATCATAAATAAAAGCTTTTTTTTTTGTGGCCCATCTGGATATGATGGAAACGACTGGGAGAGCCAAATGTATCTGATTTGGCAACAGCAATGATTTCATTTAGCAAAAATTAATAAATAAACAGTGTGAAGCTACTCTGGAGAGATGGAAAAATATGAACAATTTCTTGAAGAATATGGAATATTATTTGTAAAAAATGTGTGGTCTTTATACTCTTTATCCAAATACATCATGTAAATCGATTATTTGGATTTCCAATAGCATGGTGCTCAAGTACTGAGATCAGTTTGGCCGTGTTCCTCTGTTGGCTTTGATGATTGCCGAAAAAGGTGTCCCAGCTGTCCCCAAAAAAATTATGCAGCAGACCAGGGGAAAACATATAGATAGATAGAGGACTCAACTGTGATGTAAGAGGTAATTTGCTATGTAATATTGTATGGCTTTGGAATCGTGACATTACGTACTTTAGAGGAAAATAGGCACGTTAGCTTAGCAACCGCGTGACGCAGCATGACACGTGAACCTGAACGCGATTGGTCGACAGTCTGCTGGGTGGGGTGTTATACATTCCTCCATTCATTGACCAATGGGATTCCTATCTCCACCTTTTTCTTATCTCTGGAGTAGCTCAAACTGCGCATGTTATGTCTCCATGAGACGGCATCTTTCCTGCATGTGGGCATCTGCAGGAACCCCTCTTTATACTTCCCTTCCATTGGTACCTTTTTAAGCTAGGACTCCCGTATGGGGACGCTCCAGTACAGTAAGTGGCGGTAATGCACCATAACCTTGGATGCCAACTGCTGATTAAACCCCACAGGAGACGAGGTGGAGGCGACAATGGTAGCTAGCTATCTAGGACAACGGTAGATGGTGTCGCCCCCGCCTGTTGGGCAATGCATTCCCGCAGTTCTGTTAACGACGGCGAGGGTAGGTGTTTTCGGCAGGCGGGAGCGA